TAAATTCCGAGAACAAGTCAAATCCAGTAGAAATAGAACCTATATTGAAATGAGAAAATTTTAATTTTCTGTTATATGCCATTCAACAATAATTTTGGCGACTCGTTAATAAACAGCTACTGTAATATAGATCAGAAGCTACAGAAATAAATATATTAACATGTTAAGGAATCAATAGCAAAAACTCTACAATACAATTTATGAAAAAGTGGAACGAAAAGGTAAAAACGGACTGAACAAAAACTAAGCGTTGTAGTTCTACCTCGTCGATAAATTACAGGTCCTCTTCACAAGTGACCAACCGTCTTTTTCTCTCCTCATCATGCCAAACATAGATGTTCCCGTTAGTAGACCACGCCTTCTTACTTCCAAACTTTCGTTTTGCAGCCTGTAGTAATGTATAACGTTGCTTAGATAGGTCTTCAAAAATGGAGATACTGCTATTTCCAAGCTTATTTTTAGCTTTCAATACCTCAGTACGCTTAGCCTGTCTAAGGAAATTAACAAGTATAGTACGTGGCTCTTTTGAAGCATCACTTATGCGCCCCAAGCGGTAAACATTGTTTATTTCTTCAGGATTGCAACGTACGCCCAAACTCGTGATAAAGAATCTCACTACATTGTCAATAACAGAGTCATTTTCCTCCTCCTCCGGGAGTCCGCGAATTCTCAAGTTATTTATTCTGGTGAATTGATCCAAGTGATCAACCTTTTCAGTTAATAAGGCTATATTATTAGTATTAGCATTGACAGAACCGCTAATCTGTGAAAGGGATTTGTTTATATCACATAATGTGTCCTGAATGCTGGAAAACTTTTTCTCCATTGAGATTTCTACCCTTTCAACGAACTGTGCACAGACTTTCTGAATTAAATCTTCAGTCGATGAATCCACTGGAACTTTCCCTTTATTTCTGGTTGGCATCATTTTATCGACGTGGTACACTATCCTAGTGCACACCAGTTAGCCTCTTAAGGATATCTTAATTCGAAGAAAAGAAAACTAACTATTGCACAAGTGCACACAATACAAATCGCAGTCAACAGTCACCGACCTCCACATCGAATGTAAACACTTTTCCAGAGTAAAAATGAACACTTTAAGTCCTCTGTGCACCCGACCACATACAATTTTAAAGAGAGCACCAAAAACACGTCTACTCGCTAGCACACATTCGATCGAATTCGATCGAATTAACAAATCTTTGAATCACTGCCAAGTCGAGACATGCCTAAAGTGTACGAACCTAGACCGGCCTATTCACTCTTAACTTTCACCACGTTTCTTATGGCATTTTTTGGTTATATCCAATAATTCCCTCTTCAATTCTTCTGTTAAGAAATATTATCATGTATACGCCTATCCAAACAACTGCTGTCAACGTCAATTTAAAGCTAAAAATGTCGATCAGTTTTGATTGAAACAAAAAAATTGATCAATCCCTAGTCAACATTTACTGAGCACTAGAAGCCAATCGACTATAATTGAATCCCGCTTTAATAATTGAAATTAACGACCTCTGTTTCTAAAACTTTTCAAGTTCATTATCTGTAAATTATAATTCTTTTGCTTGATCTACTCTCCTCGTTAATTTTTTTTATTGTATTGGAAAGAAAGAATGATATAAACTTAATTAAAATAAAAATTAGTTGGCAACTTTCTCCCAAAGTTTTCGAGTTCGTAAATGTTAAAATTTTAAACCGGTGGGTTGCTCGAAAAAGCATTACTTACCTGAAGAACTCCAGCCTCGGCCTCGCCCGTATTCAAGTAACCCGAAAGTCTAAATTATCTTTCCAAATGAGGCTTTTAGAGAATCCCCAAGTTTCACTTGGAAGCTTTGATCTTAATCTCATTTCCTTATAATTATACTGTTATATGGCGTAAACATATCCTCTTAGTCCGCCTTAAATCAGCAAAGCGGATAATCTTTTTATGCTCCACGTTTTCTTATCCAGATCATTAGTGAATTGGTTGTCGTTAGTATATATTATTTAAAATAAGGAAGTTTCTTAGAAAACAATAGTACATTAGATGTCGTATAAAATTAATAGCTAATGTCCAAAGTATCGATATTTATCAAATTATTTATATGAACTGTAATATAAGTGAAAACAAATTTACTTTTCTGTGTAGGTTCAATCTATAAGTCGTTAATAAAAAGTCTGATCTCGCCCAAACCAGATTGACCCAACCATTCTTTCGTTGATCATTCTTTGATCCTATTGCAAATGGATCTTGTGAAATAACATTAGGGTAGGACGAAGTGATTTTGGCTTCATAAATCGACTACCCGAGTCCTGTCTAGCCAACATTTTGAAATACGAGATGATTGCGCCCATTGCTACAATTCATATCACAGCGTAATAATAAAGCGAACACACAAAACTAATCCATTTATAAGCAGTATATTTGAGGTAGGACTGCTATTTAATTACGTACTAATGTGTCCATCCAACAATTTATTGGTAATTTTATAAGTGATTCTCCTTTAATTCAAATATTCCTCTTTCGCAGCCATGTTTTATTAGTATTGACCGATGTATAAATTATGATTTATAGGGCAATTTATTTGAGCAGTAAGCTGTTTAAGCATTAGCACAAATCCATCAATAAGCTTGAATAATGCATAGGTTGCAATTGATTTTAATCCTCAAAAAAATGGGACATTTATAACAAACTTTTGTAGAGAGAGAATAAGAAAAAAGAATCTCTCTCAGATGCTTTTAAAACTAAAGTATACCCTGAATTAATCTAGCTTTCCAGTTTTAATAACTTATTGATTTTAATGTCCATCACAGATGTGCTCATTATTCCAACAGTTGAATAAAAATAATCACCCATGATTATTCAATTTTATTACAACTGAAACAAAAATAATGAGGAGAAAGGAGAGAATTATTGGGATGAAAATGAATGAATTTATCATGAAAAATAAAAATTAACTATTTACTTGGACAATAAATTTATTTAATGAAAACGTAAAAAGTCAGTGTTTTAGATATTAGATAGTAACTTAAAATAACGATAATGGAAACGTTAAAAATCAAGACCAAGATGAAAAAATAATATAGCTGACATTTTTAAGGCGATGTTTTGCATTGTATTAGCTACGTCCTGTCCAAATTTAGTTGGTGCATCTCTCTAGGTTGCGAAAATTCAGTACCTATGTATGGTTTCAGCCACGAAAATTGAATAATTCCAAATCTTTTGACTTTTCACCACCAAGAACGGCGGTGACAACATTTTTAACAGGAAGGCGATATTTCGCATTGTATTAGGTATGGCCTGTTGAAATTCGGTTAGTGCATCTCTCTCGGTTGCGATAATTCAATATACAACGTATTAGAAGTTCGACTGCCTTAATTTTAACAAACGATAGAATACATTAAAATAAACAAAAAAACCTTATATGACATGGGTCCCAAACTCAACCATTTCCGATAAAAGAATTATGAAAATATCCAACTTGATTAATTAAAGAATATTGACATAACTGCGTGTATAGAATACCATAAAATACAATGTTTATCACCTTTTTGAACTTCTTGAATTAAGCATTAATTCTAAAAAATACAGTTGTAATAAATTTAAAATTCGATAAAATTCATATCGGGCAATGTGACAACGGCGCGGCAGTTTACTAACACGATGTACTAAGGTGTCCTGCACCACCAATACGCAATTCAGTTGGTATCTGGATTCGACCGTGTCGGTGTGTTTTTTGCGTACCACGATTTTATCTTCTTGAGGTGTTTTCCAGCGAGATTTATGATTACTCTATGTTGAAGTAATGGCAGTCAAACTTCTTACACCTTGTATATGTATCTTTACTTTGCGTTTAAGAAGAATTGTTTTTCCAAAATTAAAGTCCAAAATATAAATTTCAAAATTAAATCAAACTAAAATTGCATGTAAAGTAATCGTGTAAAATCTGGTTTCAGGTGTTCTTTTAGACAACCGCGCAAACGAATTGGTTATCAAAGATTAACACAAAACCCACCTCGAATTTCGAATATCTTAATGCAGCAACAGCTGAACTTTGGAGCCATTTGCAGCTGGCGGTTTATGGCACAATAAATTATTTCCTCGATTGCCTCCTCAAATACGAAATAGTTTATGTTACCAGCTGAATTACCCTGGAATGTTACAGGGCCTCTATACAACTATGTTCATAAACTCGACAACACTTATTATTTTTTCATGGAAACATATATATAAAATCAATAACAACTTTTATTAGTGCGGGTAATTCATGACATTTTTTAAGTATAGGTGCAATCGATTATGTTACTTCCCCAAATTGCATGGTATACAGGGTGGGCCACCAGTAACGCCTCGGTCGCTAGTGACCAAACGGCAAATGTTACAGAAACCTGTTTAGGTAGGTATGTGTAGGTTGATTACGGCTANACTTTTATTTATAAGTACGTGAAAATAATTCTTAAAATGTGGGGTTAGAATAACAGCAAACGCATGTTTTACAAACGCTTTTTTTTTACTTATTATTTTATTTGAGTAAATTTAAATGGTAACAATGAATAAACAAAACATCAAGGATTTTATTTTTTTGCTTGCTTTTGTTCTACACGTTTTACTTTTAAAGATTTCAGTACCTATAAACGCCAGAAATTTCACTATTTCTTGGCCAGGAATATGGCCACCTTAATAGTGTATTGCTTTGGATATATTAAATGTTTGCCTTTTTTTATTATATTTCTGTCCGTTATCGAAGTACATATTAACCTATGTTTTACATTTTTATTTATTTATTTATAGAATCAATTTTTCGGCTTTTTATATCCCCTTTTCCTCCTATCCACTAGATGTGCAGTTTTTTTTTTAAATAAAGATAGGTCCTCACACTAAACAACTTTTGTTCAGTCTCAGGTAAATGGATAAGTTTGGAGGTTGAAGAACAATTAGAACGTTTTAATGTAGTTTCATTCCAAGTACAAAGGCATGCATTCCTGTGAATTATCAGCACTATATATCAACTTACCCGGGTTGGATACTTCGCACGGCAAAACCACAGTGTCCTTGTCTGTGACCTTAAACACTTGACTGGACGTAAGGAATGTTGGCAATGTGGCGGGGTCAACTTTGATGTTGGCCTGCAGGAATCCTGGAACGAAGGAAGAGGACAATTATAAATATACATGAATTACTGGCAATGCATCTAGTCTGGTATGGAACTCCGTTAATGCTAAAAGCCCTCTAATATCTCCACTTATAACGGTTAGCAGCGCCGCTGTTGCTAGTTATCCCATTTTCCGCTTTCTACATCAGCATTTACCGTTAATTTCCAATTAACGTTTTTAGTTAAATCATAAACGATGTTAAAATTTACTCAGCCATCAAATAGATGCTTGACAAATAAGGTACTTTTCCTTTTAATCCGCATTGTATTCAATTAAATGCATTAAAGTGTATTTTAGGAAATCTTGCCAAATGAAATAGATATTAATTTATATAACAGCGATGTTGCGAAAAAAATTAACAGAGTTCGTCGGCAGCCAAACACTGGCCGTAAAACACAACAAAAGAATCAATAAAGATATTGACTCAAATTAGTTTAGGTGTCTCATAGTAACTGCCTATATAAAAAAGCTTATAAATGGTCGAAATTAAAAGAGATCTGAATGACTATAACAACCAAATTCGGAGAAGTGGTATTTACTCAGTAATTTAGTTACGAATAAATAATATCAAAATTAAAATCGTATTTCACTTCAATTATATGAAAATAAGGTTAATGGATGAAGAAAAAAATTGTTTTTTATTTATTTTTTCTTAAACCATGAAAGCCATATTTAATATGAACTGTACGAATGAAAAAGCTCTATCGATTTTACAAATTACTGTAAAAATAGATCAATTATAGGCGTCCGTAATGGGCTCTGATATCCCCAATTTTCAAAATGATTATATTTTTTTATATTGGTTTATTCTAGAGCAGGTCTCTTATTATTTTTAAAAGAAATGCTTAATTTCTGAGAAAAATGGCTTCTTATGGGTTCATTACATGTAAAATGGTATATATCAAATGCTGTTTTTTCTCTCTTCAAAACGGGTACAAAATACCGGTGTTACAATTTATAATACGGCTGTTGCAGTTTCCAGTTTCATGAACGCATGAATAGCATTTTTCGTCACAATTGTACTTTAATTTTACACGTAATTTATTATTTCAACATTGCGCGAGCAATTACCAATTTTTATACAGCATGTCAAACATAAAAATCTATTTGTAGTAGGACAAGCACTTTGTTAACATTAACGCTATTCTTTTTGAATAAACATTACGAAATTCATTCTCTTTTGAATGTTTGTGAAACATTCATATGCGTATATGTATTATTACAAAGCATTTTTATAGAACTACTGACTTTTTTCATTGTTAGTTTCATTTGAAAAACTTCCTTAATATTTTTGTATATTATGATTAATTAATTTTGGTTGCGGCGTATGTTAAAGAATTACCTGTTGTTATTTTAGTTTATAGTTGACATGTTTCATATATGATATACGTCACTATGAATTAAGTATTTTTATACAACAGTTATCACCAGTATGGCTATAAAAGTAATTGAGTTTTAACCTATTTCTCATTATTATGAGGTGTTTACGTGTCATTATTTAATAGAGTTTAAAGCTTCAAACACAAATTTTAACCTTGCTTGTGTGTAATTAATCAATTTATTTAAAATAACACAAAAAGACGGAAGGAAAGATATTTGCAACTACATACAACGCTTGGATTAATTATTTACGTAACCTCATTCTACACATACAAAGAAATAATTTACGAAATTAATTTTTTAAGGTTCGTTATATATAGTCGTTCCGATCTCAATTGAAGAACCAAGAGGTTGGCAGTATGTACCAGGTTCGGTCGCTGACGCAGCAACACGGCATTGAAATATTTGAAAAACTTTATTTAGCCACACCCATATACAGGTCTGGTGGCCCAGTTCAAGAATGAAGAATGAGCGCGCGGGCAAACGCGGCACAAACACAGCAGCACTGGGTGAGATGGCCATAAATTCAGTTGTCAACAAATGGTGTGATTCAAAGAATTTGGTGTGATTCAAATAATTTAATTTATTATAGGCACCTTCTATTAGTCATTCGTATTACAATTGCGAAAGGGGAAAATAAGAGGGATATTTTATTTATTAATATTATTACAACATGGCATTTTGGAGACCTTTTGAAACGGTACAAAATGAAATTTACCATCAATAGAATAAAATTGTTTGAGGGCATAAATAATTCAAATATGTTGTTGGCCAAATTAACACATTTTCTACACATTATATACAAATTATTATAACTTTTTACCTTTAGCAGAAAACTTTTTCAGGAACGCCTATGAAACTCATTAAATTTTATTGTTAGGCGTTTTTATACATGTACAACTGACTTTGGAAAGACACCTAGTTAAAATATTGTCAACAATAAGTATTTTAGAGAGAGTAAGAGTAAGGTTAAAAATCGTTTTAAGATGTAGGCACCAAGGTTTAATGAGATCAAGGTCATTTTGTAAATTCAAAGAAGTTGATAATAATAACAAGACTTCAGCATAGGGCGATCCAGATCTTTGTAAAACATTATGCTATTTTTAATAACTTACGTATATTTTAAGCTATAAATTGTAGAATAACGAATCACACAAACACTAATTATTGTAGAGCAGGGGCAATTTTATACAAGTAAAAAGAGGAATGTTAAGGGGATGCATTTTATGTTATGAAACAACAAAGAAATGTTAAATGGAAGCGGGCGCAATCTGAAATATCCTTTATTTGCCGGGCGTATACTTTACTGATTAATCCAATTTTCTCTGTGTAAGGAAATACCGAATTGTGTCTGAAACCGGTGAAAAAGTTAGTGTTGACGTTGAGTCGAGGTCTGGCTTAGGAACAACTCGAAACATTTAATTAGGTCAGCTGCGCCAATTAGCCAGACCATTTCACATTGCCTCCGAACTGTTACGGAATGCAAAGCTGCGATGCCCATACGCGAGTTGATAGTAATTGGAAAGAAACACTATCATTATTTGTTTGAAACTTAGGTCGGTAGAATTAAGAACATCCAGTCGACTGGAACAATACGCGAAGTGATATTAACGCAGTTCAGGTTGTTCACAAAGGGAATTGTTTGCGTCAGTTGAATAGTCTGTAAAATTTTGTTGTTACATTTAAAAAGGACAAATAGAAACAGAGAACATTTTAAAATTGCCAGTAAATGTAAACTAATTATAACAAGGTTTCTCTGTACGCAGCGTTTTTGTTGAAAAAATATTACCCGAAGGTTATTCGATTGATATCGGAAGATGGTATAAAAATCCGAAGAAGCAAGGTGAAGAGAATAGTGAGGATCTAAAGCAACCTCCTAGTCCAGCTCCTGAATAATTGCTTTTGCGATGTTAGGAATAAAACAGATGTTGTTATCGCGCCGCAAAAATTATTTGATGATGTCTTCCTGACCTTTTTTCTTGAGTTGAAGGCTCAAAACCAGTTGTTAGCAATAAATCTCAGAAGCAGTTCATAGTAGATAACGTCTTCTTTGCCCAATCGATGTACATCGGCTTACTCAGTTGGGTACCAGTTTTTTCTCGGGGAGTTGCCTTCTTCTAAGTATCGTTTTCGTTCAAAACATACCTACTCACAGTCCATCGTATTAGCCAATTCCCGATTGACGTAGGTCATCATGATATAAATAGTTTGAACCATCTTCATCAAAGTCAAATGGTTTTTCTGAATATGGTATATCGTTCAAGTTAAAATAGACTTCTGGGACGAGGAAACAATTTTCGTGATGTACTCTACCCAATAGCGTTCTCTTCGTAAACTGTACAAATGGTTCTAACAGCATCTGTTGCCTGAATTCTTCAATTGGACTCGAACAAAAGGACATGAAAGAAGCACCTGTTTTTTTCTACTTGACACTCCATATTTTTTGCAAATAATTGAGATGACCTTTGCTGAAATTATGGTACTAAAGCAATTCTAATAACTCAGGCACTCTTGTCATGGAAACCAAAAACATTAAGGCCTTATGCATCGTTCCAAAACAATCTTTGTAGGAACTAAACAGTTAAGTTTAACAGCTTAACCACTGTTTAAGTCTTCAAAAATTGAATTTCTAAACCTGTTCCAATATAATTCAAGTTTTAAGATTCGGAGTTAATCATGAGACAACAGTCTTGATCTTTTTTTTCATATAGACTAAACTAATCACTAATTAATATTTTCATGTACATTGCTTTCATTCTGTTCCACATTCTGACGCATAAGTATAAACTTCATAAGCTTCAATTAGTTAATCGTTCTGCTGTTATGGAATGATTTTACTAGAATTACCCAAAATTAATTATAAGTTGTCACAATTCATAATAGCCAGTTACGAAAATGAAATTTAATGATATAATCACACAAACATACTGAAGTAATAAGAGTAATATTTACAGATATGAAAATGTACTCATATTTCTAATTACTATTTGCTTCCAAGACATCGCCCATAATTTTTTTGTGTACACCTGTAAGTTTCGTTTCTATATAAGGATATGATTAAATTTTGGAGCCTCTATAATTAGGAATCAAACAAATAATTAATTAATAATAATAATAATAATAATAATAAATGTCTTTATTACTTTTTTTTAGTATAATTACAAAATACATAAATTTAGAAGAGGTTGGCGACATTCGGCTAAAGCCGCTCTTCCATGTAACCAACCTAGTCGTGGTACAGTAGTAGACAACGTTTAAGAATTACAAGAGAAAAAACAACAAAAAACAAGAATAAAAGTAATAGTATAACATCTTAATCATATAGGTTCTACTAAGAATTTTGAGTGGTTAACAAAAAATTTTTGACCTGCTTTCGGAAAGATGCGATGTTAATAGCAGATTTGATGCTAGTAGGTATATCATTATAAATATTTGAGGCGTTATAAGTAAAACTTCTCTCAAATTCGGCTGTAGAATGCCTCGGCACACTGTACAACTCCCGATTCCGCGTCTGTAAACCATGAATGTCACTATTTTTCACCAACTTCTCATATAAATAAACAGGTGATTTTGTAGCCCTTATTTTGTAAATTAAACATGATAG